CAGAGACCAGATGACCAGCTTGCTACAGAACCAGCCGAAAGAAAGAGAAAGTCTTCTTGTCTCAGATCAGGTCCACTTCCTGAGCGCCAGTGTGCACACTTACAACAGTTAATTCAGTGCAGCTTAAATTCAAGTCACTTAGTTTAGCTAGCAAAGTTCAGTAACACTTCTTGGAAACAACTGTGTCTACAGCCACACATTCTGTACCTGTATTAGGTGGTGAAACTTCAGTTCCTGCTAGAAGAACTTCTGTGTATGGTCCTCATCTTTCATCCCTCACAATTTGAGAGACTGCCCACTTTAAGGAGCAAGTCAGGCAGTATTTCAGCAGTGGTTTCCACACTGCAAGAGAACCAAAATTGTACCAGTTGCTTTCTAAGGGTTGGTTTGCATTTCCCATACCTAAACATCAAACTAGATCACCACAAGATAAATACCTGTACTTGACTGTTAGTACAAGATTCTGCAGCTAGACACACACATTACAGCAGGCTGAGTGGGCCATTGAGGAAACAGTCACAAAACAGCATGTAGTGTACTGACAGGTAACTTTTCTTCCAGGTTGGGCAAATATGATCCTCTTTAAATTAAGCAAACTGGCAGTGGTAAATCCTGCACCACTGCCTGGTTTGCTGGTGGTCACTCATCTTGCCATTCCTAGATTCCTCCTCTCTGTTCCCACTAGTTATTTGGCAAGTTACAGAAGCAACGGAGTTCTCTCCCCAGCTGGCTGCTCTTTCTGGAAGAACTCTTTGATATGCAGTAGCTTGTTATGGATCCTCTCTCTCAGAGGAGGGATATGATGGCTAGGGTCTAAGACATTGGTGCTTCTGCGCTCCCTTTCCCGCTTCCAGGCAAGATAGGGGTGCGGTGGGAAGGGCACTTCACTTCTCTCTCGGCGAAGCTGCACAGTTACTCCGCTGAGAGCCAGCATTGTCCACACTGACAGAATAATGAAGTCTGAAAGAGAAACCAAACAGATTCCTGTATCAAAAGCAGAACATTCCTTCCTGGTTTAGTGACCGAGCAAAGTATTGTTTCTGCAGCCTCACATGCTTAGAGGGAAGAACACACATGGAGCAATATGAGCCTGTTCATTCACCACATTAGGCCTTTTGTCTGCCCACCCCACAAACTCAGCAGCAAGGTCCAAGCCCAAGAAGCACCTTTCACAAGGTCCCCTGTCACATAACACCTGCTGGAAGGTTGCTGCCTTGGAGCGTACTCAAGTATTTCTTTTGCAGGACTAGATTTTTATCATCAGGGAGTTAAATCTTACACTGTATTTATTTTGTTCTCCTCTCATCCCTTCCTACACTTACTTACTTACTGTTTACAATGGAACCAAAGAGGCAGTGTTTTTTCTTAAAAAAAAAAAAAAAAAAAAAAAACTTCAGAGCTGTACTTACCATTTGTTTGAAAAGGCACATTGGTATAAGCTCTGCTGAAGTAATCATTGAGGACTCTTCTAAGTAGGTCTAAGGTGATGTAAGCGAGGCTTGTGTAGACATAACAAGCGATGGCTAGGATCACTGCATAAGAGCCTACTATTCCAGAGGCCAGTATGTTCAGCTAGAGGGGGAGAAAAAACACCGCTTTAGGAGACTGATGAACACACTTTATTCCCCTCACCTCATTAAGGCAGTAATTGGTACCAGTTCTTCTACTGGAAGTTGGCTGTGCACACCTGTTCTACAGGCAGCCTGTTAAGACAGCAGAAGTTGACTAAATGCAAGCATTAGCAGATGCCATGTGCAGCACTGCAGAGAGTCTTTCCTTTGATGATGGACCATTTACCACAAGTAGGGTTGAACAGGAACTCCCCAGGGCTGGTTCTGTGCTGACTTCACAAAGCTGTGTTTTCTATACATGTCCCACAGGACTCCACTTTGCATTAAGAAGCCTGACAACCTTCCTCCCTCCCTCTAAGGTGACAGTGCAGACTACTTACAATTCTTGGACAGCCAACAAAAAGCACTGGAATCATCAAGGCTACAGAAGAAAAGGTCACCCAGAACACCACATCGTCACGGAAGACCCTGTAGTCTCCTGCAAAGACATATTCCACGCATAACTTACTAGTTAGTAAAAAGTTTTCTTTTTTGCAAGTGGTTGGGGTGAGCTCTCCTTTCCTCCTACAGATTTCGTATAATCAGAAATATCCAGAGTACAATTTTGAAAAGCTTAACTTTTGAGCTCAAGTGAAGATTGTTTAAGGTGCATTGTAACAGTTACTCAAAACAAGAACAGAAAAAGATTGTCCCAGTTGAGCATAGTGAGTATAGGTCCTGTACTTTCAGTTGGGACAGCAGACCATGTCCATGAAACAAAACAAAGATTTTTCATCAGGTGTATGTTACTCATCTGGTAAGAATAAGAAGTACCAGAGTACTTCTGCCAAATAAGAAGCCATTCTGTTACTTATATAGGTTTAGAATATATAAATCTGCATCTGTGCATATTTGACTATAGTATAGCGCAAGTGCAGCCATCACAACAACACAAGGCAACAAATTCTTTCAGATTTAGGAAGAGTAATGAAGTCACTCAAACACTACTTTGCTCTCCCTGCTTTCTAAGGCCTGAGCTTTTCTAAGCTGACCCCCAGCTAAGCCCACTGTTCTGCTTTAATCAAGACCAACCAGGGACTGCATGGATTATCACAGAGTTGTGGCTTAAGTCAAACACAGACAACTAAAGAAAAACAGTCCCACCAAGGGATCTTAAGTAGAAGACTACTGATGTTTAAAAATCATAATAGAGAAAGCAGTGTGGCTGATGCTGTGATGCCCCTGAAGGATTCCAGATCAGCAGCTTTGCTTGCTTTTAAGCAATTTGTCTATTGGTTCTCTCAACGTCATTCTGAAGACCCTCATGATGTCAATCCAGCTGCAAATACAAATTTGACTCCTACGGTGCAGTTCTCCCAGAGCCTTGCACTGTAGTATGGTGAAAGATAACAGCAAGAGTTCCTCAATCCATACTGCCTTTATGTCTGAAGCCTCTAAGTTAAGACTGCAGATTTTCTAATGTGACTTGTTCTAGATAGGAAATAAAACAGACAGCAAATGCACGCCTGGAGCAGAGCCAGTGTCACACGCTGCTGAGATGGCACACAGCTTAGGTAGGAAAAGCCTCAACAAGTTCTCTGCAGAATAAGCAGTTTCCTTTTCCCACTACTGCAGATTCCCTTAGTTTCAATTACAGCACACCTGAACAAAGACTTCAGGTATATCACTATTCCTTCCGACACTGGATAGGGAAAGTTAAACATCATATTAAGATAAATGAGAGTGGTGTTCATCTTAGAGCTTGACAATGTCCCTGTAATACAGCAGGAACACATCACTCCATAGCCAGCATGTTGCGGCAGAGTATTTCAGTGCATACCTAGTGGGGTAAAGAAGACTGTTGATGAAAAGAGAAATCCCAGCACAAGTCCAATAATAAACATACAGAGTAAAATCGAGCCAAATCTCCACCAGCTCACAACCAAGAGGAGCCCTCCGGTAATTCCAGCTACTGCTGTCAAAATCAGACGCACTGAAAAACAAAAGGGGAAATTCCAACACTTTGAAAACTTGTTATTGCAATACTGTATCCAGCAGCTTTACTTACATGCTTGATTGTTACCTAATGAAAACTTTCTGAATAAAGCCAAGAGTATCAGTATTTGCCTCATGCATATTTCACTTAGACTCCAGTCTGCAATTGAGAATGGGCTACTGGAAGAGCAGCGTAGGGCTGGAATGAAAACCTTGGGGTAATGGCTTCAAACTTAAACAGGGAAGTTTAGGTAAGATACAAGGAAGAAGTTCTTTACAGTGAGGGTGGTGAGACACTGGAATGGGTTGCCCAAGGAAGTTATGAATGCTCCATCCCTGGTGGTGTTCAAGGCCAGGTTGGACTGAGTCTTGGGCGACATGGTGTAGTGTGAGCTGCCCCTGCTCATGGCAGGCGGGTTGGAACTAGATGATCTTAATGTCCTTTCCAACCCAAACCATTCTATGATTCTATGTACATGAGTACCTTGAATTCCTAGGGCAGTTAAGGTTGCAACCACTAATGCACAAGTATCAAAAAACTGTAAGGCAGGACACAGACAAAAGGAACTAATTGTTGCTAGTCTATCAAGCAGGGTGCAGACCTTCTATTTCCGTTTTACAGATGAAACCTGCATTTGATCTGAAACTGAGGTCCACCCTTTATGAAAAAAGTAGAAAGGAAGTATGTTGCAAATTTCCAGGATTTCTAAAAGCCTGGATCTTCCTTGGCTATGTACTGAAATTTGTCTTCTATAGTTGCAGTTATTAATTCTGCATCACTATTTGCTGTTGGAAGCAACAGTTACTCTACTGCATATTCAGCTATTATGGTAATCATAGCTCAGTTCAAGTACCCAGATATGACCCTCCTATCCTTCCTAAGGCTGGTCAACAATAAGCACAACTGAGATTTTACTTCAGAGATTCGTAACAATACTTTGGGAAGGGCATGTGGTATCCTAACACATCTACTCACCATCATAACCAAGGCCAGTTACCCGTGTGATGAATACAAAGAAGAAGAATGCTGTGAATATGAAGCCCATGAAGAATAAGTCTAGAGAAGAAGGAAAAAGACTCAGTATACTGTCATATCACTTCATACCAAACCCACTTCAGTACATCTTCAAATATCTTGAAGTTACAACAGGGAAGGAACATACCAGGTTCCTTTTCTGCTTCCCAGCCACTCACAGCTAGACAACACTTGATCTGGAAAGCAGTGTCCTCAAGCTTTTCAGTCAAAAATTACATATTTATATCTATGTTGCACAGCATTCACCCTAGTTCAACATTTCTGTTCCCTGCATACTAGAAACTTCTTGCTCATCTGTGCTTAAAAGCTCAGATCCTGTAAAAGCCAAGCAGTAGACCTAATTGACATGTAATAACTACCAAGGGAATCTTAGTAATAACACCACCACTCTAAGTTACAACAAATCACAGCTATGAAATTCCAATCAGACTTATGAGAAGAGGAAAAACAAGTATTCAGTACCTGTTTTCCAGAATCTGTGTCCAAAAAAGCAAGTGAAAAGACCAAGAACAGCAAAAGCAGTAAAGAATACTTTGGTAGAGAGTTTACCTAGAAGGAGAAAGTAAGGGTTACTAAAGCATTCTACCTGGTAGTCCCCACTGTGACACAAAGGTATGGTCAGTTTGCTGTAACTGATAACTTTGTATCTGCCAGTCCTTCAGACACACCATGTCAGCAGATCTGCAATGGCTGAACTACCAGAATATTGAAGTAATTGCAGACCGATTAAGTCAAAAGCTTCCTCATTATTCAGAAGATTGACATTTCTGTAACAATTAGTTAAGTAGCTGTAACTTGCCAATTAAAATACAGATACAGCTTTACCCGAAAATTCTCTGCTCAGCTTTAGACCAATAAAGGTACATCCAATCACCTTAAAAAATCAGTGCCACAGAATTAGTGACGCAGGCAGCAGCTATAGTCTTAATCTTTGCAGCTTTCAACATAATCTCCCTTTAATATACTTTCCATGCAACAGAAAGGACCATCAGCATCCTAGTACAGCTCACCTGTCTCCTAGGCAAAATTCTATTACTTAAGCTATTTGAAAGAGTAAACCACATTTTTCTAGTTCTCCAAATTACCGAAGAGAGGTTTAGCCTAGATAATTTCTCATGTTGTCAGGAAACAATAATTTGTGTTACAGTATATAAGAAAGTAAACATGAGAGTGCATCTTACTTTATGCACCATATTATACCCACTATTCTTGGCCCTTCTGTAGTCATAATCGGAGTGGCAGCTTTGCTTTTTTTCTGCCCAAATTCTGTTGTTATATAACTTTGTACACAGTAACGTGATTTTGTGGTCATTCCACTATTGCTGATATTATCTCTATGCTTATTTTAGGTGATCATCTCCTTGCAAAATAGTTGTAGGTTACTGATTCCTGATAGCACTAGCACAGTGCTAGTGCTGGACCCTAATCTAGTTCATGTTTTATTAGCTTAGTTTTACATATAGCATCTATAGTCCTACAAGTGATTTAACATTATGTATCCAGTTCAGATGGAAAAAGCTAGAGTAGCACTCCAGAGTTGAAAGTTATATATTGCCAAGCCACAATATTAAACATCCATTAAGTTAAACCTTCAATTGCTAATAGCTCTCCTTACTCTTATTTCATCATTCTAGACTTTCTCCTCAATCAACAAGTAGACTCCATCATAAAGTAACAAAATACACCCAGTGTAAAACAAAACGCTTCTTCACAGATTTAAAAAAAATAACCTCAAAAGGACCATTCAGCATTTTGGAGCACAATAAGCTTGAGACAAGTAGGCAACGACATACAAGTCCCAACTTACTAAGAGAAGAGCAGTTATCCACCAGGTCAGCAAAGCTGCAGGCATATGTATGCACAGGTATGTATGCAGCAGAAGTATTCCAAAGAGGATCCCATACTATGATGTTGTAGATCACACCTTGACCAGGAAGTGAGGAAAAGTAGACATTGGTCTTGTCATCAGTTGTCAGCGTAAGCATCTGGAACAGTAAAGCATATTTTCAATTGCTATGAACTGCTTGTCACTGTTACTGATGGCACGTTGATGCATTCATACAGCTGAGACAACACTCAGCAGCTCAAGGAAGATGATCAAGAAGAACTCCAGGCAAGAGCCCTCCTATTCTGAACCCTCTCAGGATCACCAATTGAAACATTAAAGGCTCACAGGACTGACTGCATTTCCTCCAGCATCACTTTGTTTTCTGACAGGGGAGAAAATTCTCCCACTTATGTTTTGCGCCTCCCCGCTTCAGGTCACAGCTCAGGTTCCCTGCCAGTCTACTAACCCAGGTCTTGCCTCTGAAGCTGGCAAGGCTGTCATTCTACTCACTAGGAAAACCAGGCAGGTCATGGTCACTGACTCCCTGCTCCATCCCTTCCAGTCTCTTTGCTGGAGAGTAGGTAAACATGTAGTAAGTGTTTGCTCTCACGTATCAGATCTTCTTATGCCACTCCAAATGGCACCTTATTCCAGTTCCACTCTATTCGCCACCCCTGCTCTCTTCCTTGCATTGCCTGCTCAATCCTCAACATCTGAGAATGTCAGACCCCAGCATCTACCAGGCACCACAGGAGACTACCCATCTTTGTCAGAAGTGGCTCTATTCCTGGATTTACAGGCATTCAGTGGCAGTATAGCTATAGGCAAGCTAGCTTTTAACATCACTGAAGGAGCACTGTGACTAAAGCAGTATACAGCAAGCAGGAAGACACTGCTGTAACAGTTGGTTTCATTCAGAAAAGGGTGCAAGACATCAAAACATCTCACAGACTAGTCAATAACATCTACCTAATAGAGTCCATTGCACGATCTCTCAATTCTGCCACATTAGCAACTGTGCTAATTATCCACCTCTATGCCAAAAGAGAGTGGTTGCTGTTTTGCATGCAAGGCTCACTGTATACTTCCTAGCCCAAAGTTCCAGATACAAGTAAGAAGCCTGAAGTGTCAGCAGCTTACTTATGTCACTACTCAAGGAAGATAAGCACAGGGGAGAAGAAAACTTAAGGTAGTGCCACTGTCCCATACCTGGTATGCCACTGCTTCAGACTTACTTTAATGCCATTGGCTTTGATACTTCGCACCTCAGACATCTTTCGTATGTGGCTCATGAGCACCATCTCAGAAAGATCATTCTCTGGTAAGAAGTACTGGTAGACATCATAGCGCAGCCGCCACCTGGAGTTCTGACCCGTCCCTGAATCGCAGGATGGTGGGTTTGCTCCTCTGCAATTAAAGAGATCAGCTACATGCCCATCACAAGCCCCCAGATCTTAACATTAGCTTTCAAGTTACCTAGTTAAGCTGGCAGCATGTCTTCTACTCTTTAGAAGTTCACACTAGCAGCTAATTCAAAGCTGGACTGTAAATGTTTGCAAGCAGAGACTACAGCAGTGTTATGCAGAAACACCCTGATGCAGGTAGTGTCTGTGTCGGTACCTGCTTTTACATTTACAGAGGCTTCCTACAAGCTGTCATAAGGAACCAGCACAAGAATTCTAAGAGGTGACAACAGCCAAAGATCACAACATCACTGTTTGGTTTTCCATGCATATAAAACATTCACACAGCTCTGAACACAGCTTTCCCATTCCCTATTACCCGAGACATCAGACACCATTCAGGAAATAATGCTTTATAACCTGAAGTCTCAATGTTAATCAAAGCTCTAGGTCATTATCAGGCTTCAGTACCAGTAAAGGAATGAAACTGGCTAGAATACACAATTGCTCCTCACACAGATTGAGTTTCCCATCATGAGGAATGGGAAGATCCAGTGTTTGCTAACTGCTTGCACATCTGAAGTTGCATAGTCTTTCACAAGATGCAGCTCTCAACCATCTCTTTCATGTATTACCTCTCCTCCTCCTCCTTTACGTCTCAGTTTGTTGCAGCAAACAAGGTTTCTGCCAGCAGCTGGATAGTCAGCCTTTTCAGCAGAATCTTGTTTTATGATCTTGGCCAAATAAGGTTTTGCTCAGTGCACTCAGTTTTCCACACACCTGTTATATCCCAAGTTTGCAGGGGCAAACTTGATGTGTATATCAACCAATGTATAGTCTAGGTAAATATTTGGATCCACTTCCAAGTCAAACTCTAGATTGCAGCCTCCAGGAATAGGATCTAGAACACAGAAAAGATAACTGTGGTAGTTTTTAGCCTCCCCCTTAGATGCATGAAAAAAAGAATAAAATTCAAAGACCTCAGCAATGATGGCACTTGCTGGCATAGCCTGCTTGCTGAGCACATAAAATTGTCAGCTTCTAGTCCTGCCAACAGCACAAGTGGTTTCACTGCAGTCTAAGCTAGGTCCTGATGCATACATGAGGTTTTTTACACTGAAGCTGAAGTCATAACAAGACCATACAGTACATCCTTATACACAACTCAATTCTGCAGTGAGTGTTACTAAACTTATTCAGACCATTTCAAAACAATTTCTGGCATCTCCATCATACATTTGCATCATGTAAGAATATCACCTTTGAAAGGTGTTCATTTCACAGTTAGTTTGCAAAAAGCAGAGGTCGTATCCCTTAGCAAGTTATAATAACATACCTTTCTCCATGTAGGGAATAGAGATAGCTGTGCTGAGCACCTGGCTAGCATCCAGAGACCGAAGGTACCACGTACATACAGTCTGCTGAGGCCGAAGGATGGAAACCAGTCCTTTGTCTACTCCAGTTCCTGAGCTGTTCACAGATGGATTCTGGACAGAAACAAATGATATAAACAAACAGTTCTTCTTGAGAAGGTTTCTATCACAACTCGACCTATTGTACAGGAGTCACATTCCTGCCACAAACCCGCAGGGCTCACATTTCAGTGCCAGTGACCACAGATGAGGCATTCAGCCCTTAGCTAGCTGATAAAAAAAAAAAAAAAAAAAAAAAAAAAAAAAAAAAAAAGGAAGATGGAAAAAAGGGAGTGGCCTCTGACACCACACACTGCCTGGCTCAGGCTCAAAAACCCAAGTGATGGTGAGACTACTAAAGAGCTGATAATCACAGGCAAGTTGCAGAGAAAACTAGGTAGTTGAAGTCTACTGCTGCACAGCAATGGATTGACTACTAGAAGTGTAAAGGGACTGGAATATCCCCTACAAGAAGTGAGGGACAGTACATTCTGGGAAGTGCAGAAGCCCTTTACAATCTCCAGCAGAATGAAGATGACTGTATGACAGCTGGCTTAACACTAGCCATGCCAGACAAGAGCCTTAAGCCAGTTCAGCTACTGACCAAATCCCCACCATTGCCAACCCTTCTACAACCAGGGGTCTTGAGGAAAGACCACACAGTTCACACTCACAACCGGCAAAAAAAAAAAAAAAAAAAAAAAAAAAAAAAAAAAAAAAAATTGACCTGCAGTCAAATCTGCTTTTCAGCATTGAAAATGTGCTTTTGCCCAAGAAGGCCACAATTATCTGAGGCAACATTGTAAGGAAGTACTTTGGACCTGGCAGACTCTATGGTCTGGCTTAGTTCCATATTTCTAGAGGCAGGCCAGCCCTAAAAGCAGTATAGCCATATTTATGCATTGCTGCCCTCGTCCTGGTAAGGCCAATGAATACAAAGAGGGTCTGAATTGACAGCAGAAGATTCTGCCAGTGGTAATCAAAGACTGAAGAGGTGTAACAGTAATGCCTTAGCCCTGTAATCCTGGGTATTTCACAAAGATGACTGAGCTGGGTGACTTGTGTTACAGGTTATTCACCTCCTAAGCTTCCCAGGATACTTCTTGGCATTCAGTATATCTCATTTGGATAATACTGATGGAGAGCAGGAAACTGGATGGCAGCTGTCAGGTCTCTGTACCGCCTTCAACTTAGTCTATATTCTGCTCAAACAACAGTTAGAGCCTCACAGCACCATAAAAAAACATCTTGCATCCCAGTAAAGATGGGACAAACTGAGGCTAGTGTATAGCAGCTGGAATTCTTATATGTTGGCTAGAAGTAGCAGCCTTCATTGGAGCACTATGGACTAATTTTCCCATGTGCCACCAAAGGAGAATTAGATTCAGGACAAGAAGCTGGGGTAACAAGACATCCTATCTGTAGTTGCTAGATCCAGGCCACAAACAGCAAACAACTAAACATCCCAAGGCAATTATGTTTAGTGTATGAGGTATCTAGCAAATACTTATCATAGAATTATCATGTATCTTGTTTTTAATTTTACAAGCTAATGGATAGTAGTCAGCAGTCACATGTCAAAAGCACCATTTCCACCAAGAACAAAGAGCCTTGAAACATTTTCAAGTCCGCTCTGAAATTCCTTTAGCATTCAGTCCTCCAAAATAGCAGCTATGATATACAAGTACAAGAAAGGATTTCTGAAGCCAAAATAATACTGTCCAAAAGCCATGTAGATATTAACATATTATTATTTTATATTATTTATACAGCTTCAGTTCTATAGCCTCACATGCACCAGAGCCAACTCCTTTTTTAAAAGTAGCACTTCAGAACAGAAATGACACTCTTACCGTACCTTATCAAAGGATATCACTACATCGCTTTGCTGGGCATGTACTTGAAAAATAACAACAGTCACGTTGCTTGCAATGTTCCTGATTACAGCTTCCACTGGATTGGTCTGGTTAAGTAGCACATTTCTGAATTTTCCCAAGGACAGCTCAAGAAGACCTGTATTAAAAAAAATAAAAAAAAAAAAAAAAAA